TCAGGCCAAGAATTCTGGGTACTGTAGTTGGGGTTACACACCAAGGCTTCTGGATTACCACGTGCAAGATTCTGGGACCTCCGACTGGCAATGCTGTGGAGTCAGCAGCTGTTGTCACCAACTTCCTTGTGTCGTTTGTCCTGGTGGGCTGGATTGCATAACCTGTATCCACTGGGACAAAAAGGTTGAGAAGACCAGGCTGATAAGGGTGTTGCCCCTGGCGCCCAGCCGGCCATTACCATGACTGGTCCCATGGTGCCCGCACCTGAGAGGTGCCCAGACCAGGCAGGGCCCAATCGTGATGAACCCCGGCCACGGCCCTCCTCCTCCAGAACCCAGGCCCCGCTCCCCTCCTTACAGCCCAAGGATACCCACAGCTGTGGTGCCCTGCCCGCCCTCCCCAGCCAGGCTCTATCCCATGCCATGACCCACCCTGTGGTGCCCAATCCTGGTGCCTGCAGGCTATGCACTGCCTCCTCCTGTACCTAGGCCCGCCCCCTGGTGTGACCGGCCCCACCGCTCCACTCCCTTGACCCCGCCCCAGTATGTCCCCAGCTGAGGTGCCTGGCCACGCCCCGTAGGCAGCCCCCCATGACCTTATCAGCCACGAGCCCTCCTCTCTGACCCTTCCCGCCTCCTGACCAAAGCACTGCAGTCAGCCAGCCAGGCTGTATGTCCAGCACAGAGCCTTCTAGAGAGGTCACCACAGAGTGCAGCTTCTTCTCTCTCCTCAGCAGTTGAGGAGCCTCCTACCATGACCTCGGCCCTCCTCCCCTGGGCAGGTTAAGCTGTGAGCACCTGCGGGGGCCTCTCCAACCCCGGGCCTTACCTTCCCACCAGGCCCGCCCTAGGCGTCCCTCAGGCTGAGCTGCAGAAGTGTGAGATGCAGCAAGTAAGGAGGGGTCTGGATTTGTGGAGAGGGCCAGCACGGACAGGGCAGTTGGTGGGAAAAGGGCCACCCACCATCAGGAGCCGGGAGTAGGTTAGGATGTACTGTAGGGTTAGCGCGGGCGTTGAGATGGAAAGGAACAAGGGACAAAGCAGAGGCTCGCCTCTCCTGCTCAGGGCCTGTCTCCCCTGTCTAAGGCTTGCCCCTCCTGCCAAACTGTGCCCGGAAATCACTGTGCCTGGAAAGGTCACTGTGCCCAGATGAGCTGCTGAGACACAGCTGCCTGCCTCTGACAAACTGTAAAGACAACATTACCTCCACCTCCCTACCCTGTGCTAGGTTCTTCCGTAAATCCTGCTTGCTCCCCCGCCCTGGCTGGAGAACAGATAAATCTGAGAACAAGTGGAGAACCGGGACTCGGACGCTGGAAGAGGACTTCCGCTGGGCCCGCTAGCTAGCGGATAAACCTGCCTTCCCTTCAGTTCTGAGAGCCGCGCTCTTCCTAGGTCTGCCCGCCCTCCCAGGGCCACTTTACTATGGTACATACTGTAGCACCATATAATAACTCCACTTATAAAATCAATAGCAATGCCCCATACAGTCACCAAAGCACGTGTATAAGAATGCTTTCAGTAGCCTTACTTACAAGAGTTTAAATCTGGAAACAATATAAATGTTCAGCAACTAATAAGAAACAAAATAATAAATTCTTGTATATTTATCTAGTAGAATACAATACTGATTTGTAAATAAACAGACTACAGTTACACATAACAGTATGAATGAGCGAATCTCACAAACACAAAAATATCATTCCATGTCAAGAACTTAAAAAACAAGCATTTATTTGAAGAGTAAGACAGTGCCTGGGATGCTGACAATATTCTATTTTATGATTAGGTGTTGGATACATGGGTGTATTCTGTGAATATTCATCAAAATGGTTATAAATTTTGCACTTATGTATATCATGTATCAATTAAAAGATTCATTTAAAAAAATGGATATTTTCTCCGGTTGAGAACAGGTCCCCAAACTGCTCCATTATGGTATGGGTCAAAATACTTATGTCTGGAAAGTTAAAGTAGATGCCACCTAATTTTCACCTTGTATGTAAAATTTTTCAGTAAAATACTCATAGAGCATTAACTTTAAGCAAATACATTTTCTGGGAAACATGAGAAACCCAATTACAAAATGCCCTGAATGGTCGGTTTGTGGTATAAGGATATTTGTGACAAGCCAGAAAAAAAGTGCAGACTGAAAAAGTGAAGACTACAAGAATAGAATACTAAATTTGAGGGTAACCTTTCTATAACTTCATCAACAATAATATAACCAACACAGCAACAAGCCCAGCTAATAATTTAATTGCATACCTTTCATTTTCTTCCCAATACCTTTTAAATTTGTATTCAGTGAAGATCATACACTTTGGACTCTGGATAGTAGCAGCTCCAGCCAAGCTTTTCTGCTCACTTTTAGGCATCCAACAGTTCTACTTTCATTTATGGACATAAACTCGAATTTAGCATGCTAAATTTCCAAGACATTAACCAAAGTGCTTCACTCCTTAATTAAATGTCCATTTTTTTCCCCTTCTGTCCCCTCAGGTCTGCTTCAGGCTGAAAGGCAGCTACAGCTCAGCCCTGTAAAAACTGTTAGGAGTTGCTGACTCTTTCTCTGTCCAAGATGCTCCCTGCCCTTCCCCTTGACTGCTCAGTCCTGAACGCCCAGGTTAGAAGTTCTCATCCACCACAGTCTCCTCTAGAGGTCTTCCTCGTCCTCTGGCAGAAGCCTAAGTTTACCTTCGTGAGGTAAATACCTTAGGCTTAGAAGGTGGGATGGATGTGGCCTTGATGATTATTCCTGGGGGAGAAGCTGGAGGCCAGCACTTCCATCCGGCTACTACAGATTGTACTGTCGTCTTAGCTGTCCGAGCTCCAGTGTTCTGTCCTCCAAGATGCAGGAGTGGTGGCCAGTGGCCTTCCTGCCTCTCCTCCCATGAGGCTTGGGGTTCCACCTGTCACCCTGGGAGGAAAGGGGGACTCATGGCAGGTCCACGGCTGTCTCCAAAAGCAAACTTCCCTCATTGCATCCTTCCTGTCATCTGTTTCTTATTCCCCTTTAAAATCATTAACGCTGAGGAATCAGAGCTACACTAACTCTTTGACCAATTCCTTGATAAATTTTGTGTGTCAGGATTTGATTTTGGAGTTTTGTTTCTATTTTCTTTTTTTTTTTTCAATTAAAAAAAATTTTTTTTGGTGCCAGGGATTGCACTTGGGTCCTTGTGCTTGCAAGGCAGGCAGCGGAACCGCTGAGCTAAATCCCTGGCCACATTTTTTTTTTTTTTTTTAGTGAGACAGGGTCTCACTATGCAGTTGAGATTGACCTGGAACTCACTATGGAGCCCAGGTTGGTCTCCAACTCACAGTGATCCTCCTGCCTCAGCCTCCCGAGTGCTGGGATTACAGGCATGTGCCACCACACCAGCTGTGTTTCTATTTTTATTTGATAGCTTCAGTCAAAATTTTTGTGAACATTCTTTTACAACCACAGCAATAGAAACAGGTTTTATGGAAGGAAATTGCAAGTGCCATACAGAGAGGCAGCAGAATGGGAGTAAAATAACAAATTTACTCATTGAAGAGGGTTGATCGCCCATAAGCAGTGCCTGGATCAGTGACACACTGGGTTACAACTCCTCCTTTTCTAGGGTTTTACAGTATTGACTTCATTTGGGTGGTTACATTTCATTCTCACATTTCAAGTCATGGTCACAGGATAGTTAACTTTCAACCCACATATAATTCTTTATAGCTAGGGGAGTTTAAGATTTGCTTTAAGATTTGCCTAGTAATCTATCCTAGTCCATAGGAAGGCGGGTGTTCAGGGTCAGGGAGCAAATGTTAGCAGTGGGTTCTTTCATCTTGACACTTTCAGAATCGTGTGGCTCCAGTCTCCTTGGAGCTCAGGGCCTTGCTGTGCCCTGTTATCTCAGGGTCGGACCGAATGCCTCATGCAGCAATTACTGCCTTCAGTGCCTGTTAGTTCTGAGCTAAACAAAGCAAACTGCTGTTAGAGACAGCAGAATCCATTTTACGCGGTAACACTTTATAGGTTTTTGCTATTTATAAAAGTTTTTCCTGTCATTATGACCCTGAGCACTGTGACTTTAGAGGGAATGGATCCTTTGGGAGTAAAAGCAAGCTTCCCACTGTGCCTTCCATGTGCTAAGCATTTACATATTTGTGCATTAAAACTTAAACTTCACCAAAATCTCACATTCCAAATAGCTTTTCCAGTTCTTCATTGCTGTTTCTAAGGAGCACACAGATTTGTTCCACTATGAAAGGAAAAGGGGCCCCAGGGTCCTCTTATCAGAGGGAGGCTCAGCTTATGGACCCCAGCACGTGACCTCACTTCCTTGGCGACAGGTCCAAACAGAACTCGGAACCCTGGAGTCAGTGGGCACCACAGTCTCACCGTGGCTGCCTAGCAGTCACTTGGCTGGAGACAGTCAGCAGCGAACGTGCTGTGCTGCTTTTCCAGGCCTCGAGGCCACAGCCTCAGGAGCCCAAGCAGGTAAAGCACTTGGGAACAAGTGAGGATGGACGACTGAGACCAGATACTTCAGGCCACTGGCCACGAACCACCCAGCCCTCACGGGTAGCACAGGGCAGGTCTCACCAGACCCAGAGACCTTGGGCTCTGAGATGAGAGGGAGCCCAGGGCAGGTGTCCCTGGGCCTGGCCACCAGGCACTGAGGAACTCAGTCCAGGACAAGAGAACATTTAGGCCTGGCCACCTCTGCGAGTCCCGTGCACAACTCCCACCCTTGGTCTTCACTCTGTGTGGGGGTGGGAGGACAGGGTCAAGATCCTCCTGGGCAGGACTAGGTGCTGGGAGGCTGTGAGCCCAGGGTCCTGTCACATATCACCCATGCCGGGGCTGGCAGGAGCAGAAGGCAGTGCCCACTGATGACTCCCAGCCTCCAGAGCCGTTTCCTGTCCTCCTGGGGGAGAAGCTAGCGACAGAGCTGATTGTGTTTGGTGAGCACAAGGTTCCCTACATAAAAACAGCACAAACTGTGGTCAGGTAGTGTCCCATGCCTCCTGCCAGCTGCTGCACACTGTCCCCCAAGACCTGCACACAGGACATTGGATGGAGCTGTCACGGGGCCTGTGTACCATGTGACTGTGACCCACAGTACTGGGGCCACAATACCAACAGGTGCCAGCTCAGGCACAGGGTGTGTGTATGAGCAGAGGGGACTCTGCCCTGAGGACATGGGGGCCAGAGAGGACCCTTGGGGACAGATGACACCTTCACCTCCTCCCTGCAAGTCTTGGTGACAGGGTCCTCTCCCAAAGGAATCCAGATCCTATGTCCTCAGCACCCACAACCTCTCTGCTCAGCCTCAGAAGGAAGGTCACTGTCGACACGCTGGGGGAGAACCAGGAAAGGGACACAGTCACTGGGTTACCTGGCTCCTGCTATCATCATCATCATTATTATTATTTTATTATTTTTGGTACCTGGGATGGAGCTCAGCACCTTGCTTTTGCGAGGCAGGTGGCTACACCACTGAGCTAAATCCCTGGCCCACTCTCTCCATGATTTTATCCTGCCACGTCACCTCATTGTCATTCCTGGCCCAGGTGTCCATGTGGCTGATGACTCATTTCTGCCCTGGGAGGGGTCTCAGGACCCAGGAGCTGTTGCTCTTCGTGCATAGAGTTCCACACAACCTCTCCTCAGCTACCAGGCTGGCCTGAAATGCTAGTATTTCTAGGTGTCCCTTCTGAAATGTAACTTTAATATGAAGATCACTTTCTGCTGGATCCTCCTGTGCCCTCCTGGTAGGAGCCACGGTGGACAGTTCAGAGTTTGATCAGGGTTAATCCTCTGACCCTCCTAATGAGCCCTGTGTGGGGCCCCAACTCCGTGTCTTCCCACTGTCCCATCACAGATTGGGAATCAGGCAGCTGAGAGCCTGCCAGAGCTCTGCACAGTGAGGACAGCAACAGGCAGGCCGGCTGCACACCTTGACCGAGCCCCTGGAGCAGGCCTTCCTGGACAGCTTCCCTACCAATGGGGCCTTCTTCCCAGACCCCACAAGGGCCTGCATTTCCTTCCTGCAGGAGGGGATGCTGGGAAGGTGAGTTCTGCTTTCAGTGGCGCAGTGAACCTGGCCACTGTGGCTCCAATCCTGGGAAGGTGCAGCCCTCTCTCTGACTCAGTTTGCAACTCTGAGCAGTGGGCTACTGAGAAAATCAAGCACGCAGATCACTGCAGAAAGGAAAGCAGTCTCTATGGCAAGTGCTGACCCTGGCCTTGGCCCCATTGAAGACCAGCAGTAGCAGCCTTGCTGATTTTCAGGGGTGATCTTCCATTCCCGCTGGGTACTACAGACCCCTGCAGTCAGTCTCTAGTCCCCACCTTCACAGTCTGTGATGCAGGCCTGAGAAAAAAATACACTAAGAGATAGAACTAGGAGAAAAACAGTGGGGTGACAGGACGACCAATGCTGGTGCAACTGACAAAGTTGCTGGCCAGTCCCAGGCACTGACTTTTATTGGCATTCGATGGGGGTAAAGGAAATTACTGTAAACAAGGCTCACAAAAGACAAGAGAAAGCATTATTGAATTAGGAACAGAATAGACAAACTATATAGTTGCAATTAGAACATCATCCTAGTAAGAAAGTTTTACTTGTCGGAACAGAATTGGGGTGGAGTTACTCTGACCTTGGCCAGACTCATTTCTCAAAACAAGCCAGTTGTGGGGTTAAATCTGCACAACTTGCTTCGGGCATAATCAATATTGCAGTTGTCTGCACGGGAAGCTTTGCCTCACCCACACTTAGCCCTGCACTAGGGAAAGTTGTTCTGGTCATTGTAAAGGAGATCACAGAGTCACTGTATGGGCTTCAGGGTGGTCCCACAGCAGGAATCCTTGGGGGTGCAAAGGGCTCAGGCCCACTCAGACATCATGGAAGAGCAGGTGGGTACTTCACTCCACGAATGTACATGCAGACACACTATGTGCACACTCTGTTCCAGGCACTGATCATGACCCACTAAGCGGAGCACAATTAACCATCACCCTCAGGGGTTTCAGTTCATGGACATTTGGTGACTTTTTCTTCTTTTGCAGCTGCTGGACCGGCTCCAGCCCAAGCTGAAGTATCAGCTGCAGAGCCCATGCCAGCTCCACCTGAAGCTCCCTGCCCAACTCTGCCACCACAGCCAGAGCCAGCACCAGGAACCCCTTCTCCACCAGCTGCACAGCTGGGGCTCCCGGTGCCTCCTCAGCGGGTGTCAGCTCCTGAGCTCCCCCTGGGGCCAGCTTCTGCCCCAGGCCTGCCGTTCCCCTCCATTACTGTTGGTCACGTTAAGGTAAATAGTTTGGCTCTTATTTTCCGGATCTATGTGAATAGTCGAGTTATTTTTAAGGAAAGTGAGGGCTCTGCTGTTGTGGAGAAGCGCTTTCTCAGCCAGGGCTGTGCACCCTCCCCCTGCCCAGCTCCAGAGTGCTCTCCTCAGTGCTCTATCCACCAGTCAGTGGCTCCCCCCTCTCCCCTGCTGCTAGTCCCTGCACACCACTCATTTTACTTCCCAGTGATTTGCCTGTTCTACATTTTTTACCTCAGTGCAATCAGATTTCTCCTTGGCCACATAATCCGGGAAGAGACCCACGAATTTTGCTTTCTGTAGAAGGGAAAAATCCTGTATAGATCCTATCTATTTTTCATTCACCTATTCAGTAAATTCTGCAGCTATTTTTGCCAGACAAGAGGTATTCATTAGAGAAGTAAGGAATGCAGCATGGAGGAAGAAGGAACGGAGACACACAGTCGCAGTCATCCCTCTGGGAAGCGCGCCCCCCACTGCTCCCCTTCCGCCTGCCTCTCCTGCCTCTCGGGGTTCAGGCTGTGTCTTGGCTGCTGGGTGGGGCGTGTGGGGCCTCAGCTCCCCTGTCCTCTCAGGTGTGCACTGAGGACATGGTCCCGTCATGCTCTGTCCCTTGCAGACGCAGTGGCCACAATGATACAGTTGTTTCAGCAACTTCTGCTCCAGACAATTTCCAGTTGTTAATGCCCACAAGAGACTCGAAGGACACATCTTTGCTTCGAAATCTCACTTTTTCAGGTGGAGTCTTGGCAGTAGAGTTTCTGGGTCACAGTCACAGAAGTTTCTGGGTCACAGTCACAAGGTCACTGACAGGCTCACGCCCTTGGGGGTCTGCGGTCCCATGGGGTAGAGCACCCAGTACTCCGGTCACAGAGTTCTGAGTGACCTCCAGGAAAGGCAACTGTGCAGGCTTCCAGGGGTCACAGGCAGGTGGTCTATGGCTAACATTTGTCACATCTCAGAGGACAGAAGGACAGGACAGCACTGCCCCACTGCTCCTACTTGAAGATGGACAGATGCTCTCCAGATTTTGATAAAATATTACTTTTCAAATGTGAAATTGCAGAGCATCCTGGATACCAGGGCTGAAGGGTCCTAGGGGTGTGATTGGCCCAGTCCTGTCCCTGGACACTGCAGAGTCCTCTTCACTGAGGTATTTACAAATCAGTGAATTTTTGCTACAGTACTAGTGGGGGATAAAATCAGGACCTTCTCATTGAGCTACATCACCAGCTCATTTAATTTTTGTTTTAAATTTTGTCACAGTCTCACTAAGTAGCTAAGTTGCCCATCCTGGACTGAAGTGTGTGATCCTCCTGCCTCAGCCTCCCGGAATACTGGGATTATAGATATGCACCACCTTATCGGCTTCACTAAGCAGTTTTGAAAAACAAAATAAAAAAAAAGACTGCTATGGCTGGGGATCCACCTTTAGCACCTGGAAGGGTTGGTATCTCTGGCGAGAGGTGTGGACTCTGCGGAGGGGTGCTTCTCCCACAGAGGCCTGCAAATCTCTGTGTGAGCATCAGTCCAGGGCCGCCAGCCTGTGTGGTAACCACAGGCTCTGCCCTGACCTCCTTCTCACACTGCCTTGATGTGCAGAGACCCCACTTCTTCCCACCTTTCAGCAGGGTCTGCTGGGCAGTGAGCCGCACAAGCCCATCCCAGTGAGACTTGACCTCCTCTGTCCTCAAGGATCCTGCCCGAGCTGTAGGAGCTGCACCCACCCCATGCTGAGCCTGTGCCCATGAGAGCTGCAGGAACCATCTTTTCCATCTCTACTCACAGCCCGAAGCTCCTGACCTGCACGGGCTGCCCTGGGCTCCTCCCTGACTGCACACGCTTACCCCACCCAGCCAGGTGCTGTTACGCTTTTGCACTGAGCCCCGCTACTCACTGCCTTGCCGTGAAGAAAGGGTCATCCAGACAGAGTCGGGCCTCGAGGGGGCAGTTCTGGGTAGAAGCAACTGTGAGAACCATCTGTGCTTTATAGATCCCACGATAATGCACCCAGGTAGGGCCTAATTTCCATTTTACACATTCTATGTACCATTTCACCACGAATACTTTCATTGTGTACTACGAACATGTACTAGTAAAAATAATGCAGCAAATTTCACACGAAATAGTAAAATGAAATGAAGTTTGGAGAAATGGGGAAAAAAATACAATAGTCAAGTGAAGAAAAGCCAGTCAGACAAACCTGAGACCCTGTACCTGACTGGCAGGGTCCTGCACTCAAGACAAGCCTGTTGCCAGAGTGGCTCTGGTCCTGAAACAAGCACACGCTGTTGGGACTTCTGTGGCTAATGTTGGTGTGATAGGAACATGCAATGTCATAGTACTTTGCTCTGTGCATAGCCCAGTGCAGACTCATGGAGAACTTGCTGTGTGCCGACAGCCTGCCAGACAGGAGGATCCACCCTCAGCATCCCAAGTATCCATGTGAGCCTGCACTACACAGGGGCCCAGGGCTGGGGCAAGGCCCTGAGTCAGGGGTCACCAGCTCGACCCAAGACCCAGTTCTGACCACTGAGTCCCTGAGAACACCTGGTGCTGAAAGCTGCCCGAAGCCACCATAAGCCAGGAATAGGGGCTCCTGGCAGTCTCATCCAGGCTCTGTTCCAAGCACACCAGTATGTTGGTTCCAGCTTGGTCCGGATGACAACAGATCAGCCATCCCTGAGTACTGGTTTCTCCCAGGACCAAGGAGGGACTGGAGATCACAGAGCAGCTGTGGCCTTAGCCATGTCCAGCAAAAGTCAAATTGTGCTTAGAGGAAAGAAGGGAGGAGAGAAGAAAGGAGGAGGAGGAGGAGGAGGAGGAGGAGGAGGAAGAGGAGGAGAAAGAATGGATGGATAGATGGGGAAGCAATGGGAAGGGAAAGAAAGAAGAGCAGGAGTAGGAAAAGTCACTGCACTGCACAAGTGTTTGAGCCCCCATTTGCCACCTGCCACACTTGCTCAGTGACAGCTGAGATCCCAGGACTTGGTTAGCTGCACATGCAGAGTCTCCTCCTCTTGTGATCCCATCCCAGGGCCTGGGAAGTGTGAAGGGACAAGGAAGGCCCTGGGAAGGGGCAGTCAGGCAGGAGAAACACAAGGAAAGAGTAGTGCGGGAGTGCATCCTGGGCAGCTGGCAGTGGGACAGTCTGCAGTTAGGGACACCCAGAGCATGCTGCCCGCCATCCAGATCCAGTGACAGCAGGTGGGGATCTTCTTTGATCAGCACAAGAGGGCCACACTGACACCCGCACAGACTCTGGAGCCCCAACATGTCAGAGAAGCCCCACACCTCTCTGTGGGTCCCACAGCACCTGCTCCTGCCCTTGTGCTCCGTACCCCTCATCCTGCTCAGCTCCAGCAGGGCGTCACACATCAAGAACAACCTGCAGACAGAGTTCGTGGGCAGCTACTTCTGGAGAGGTTGCGCTGTGCCTGGGCGCTTCCTCACTGCTTGACACTGATCCCATGCCTCAGTTTACCACACATGACCCAAGGTAGATACCACACCCCACCTGCTCAGGGAATGAGAATAGGCAACATACCCAACTAAGTAGCTTCCTTCTGTGAAGGTGGGACCCAGAGACACTACCGCCCTGGGCCTCCCACCTGGGAATGACACCCATCAGGCAGTGGCCCCGCACACATCACCTGCTTGGGGAACCATGTTCCTCTCCCAGGTCAGAACAGCTGGAACCCTCCATGAACCTTCTTCTTTTGAGTCACGATCTCACCAAGTGGTGCAGACTGAGCTCGAACTTGCAATTCACAGAAGCCACCAGCTATAGAACGTAAAGAACTTGGGAGTCTTCAGAACAAAACCTAGTGCTTGCTGCCTGGTGGCAACCTGTATATTATGCAGACTATTAACCTCAAATTCATGGAGCTCTATCCCAAAAGTAGCTGGTCACAAAGCATATGGAGAGTGCAGTGTACATGTGAGGGAAGTTATCCTAAAACATCCTGAAAGGATAATGGGGAGAGAAAGCCAAAAAGTGAAGTTGTCCACCTGCCAGCTCCTCTCCGTGAAAGAATCAGCATGAGAAACCTACTTTACCACCCTCCTCTTCAGAGACAAGGTGCCAAGAGGGTAAGGGCTCACAAATATTCAGGCATATTAGATAACTAACTAATGGATTAGGGCAGAGTGTGCCACAGTGCCTCCCTGAGATGGATTATGGGAGGGAAGCTGTGTGGCTATTGTCTGGCACTGTGCACAGGAAGAGAGACAGATAGTCTTTTAAAAATTTTTAAATTGAGTTTATTGGTACATTTTAGGGATACAGTACAGTTATTGGGATCTTGTACCTTTACATGACAGGTCTTGGTTCTCATTTTTTCCCCTTGTCCCTGACCTCCCTTCACCCCCTCCTCCCCTCCCCATTTACAAACACTTTATTTCCATCTTTTCATTTTCTCACATTTTTTTCTTTTCTATTATTACCTTTTCTCTACCCTTCCCACTTTCCCTACACCTTTAGCCCTTTTCTTCCCATTTCTCAATGTCAGTTGTCTCATTAGGATCTTATGTACTATTACAGTTTATTCACACCAGAGAAACTATTTGGTATTTACACATGTGTGACTTATTTATTTCACTTAGGAGTATATCCTCAATATGTATCCATTTTCCTATGAATGGATCTAATTTATCATTCTTTATGGCTGGGTAATATTCCATTTTATAGAAAAACCACATCTTCTTTATCCGGTTTCCAACGGATGGGCAAATGGGCTGTTTCCAAGTTTTAGCTATTACAAACTGCGCCACTATAAACATTGGTGCCCATATATCACTGTGATATGATTCTTTTAGTTCTTTTGGAAAGATACCCAGCAGAGGGATGGCTGGGTCAAATGGAACTTCCAGTCCAAGCTCTTTGAGGTATCTCCATACTGATTTCCATAGTGGTTGCACCAGTCTGCACTCCCATCAACAATGGAGAAGAGTTCCTTTCTCCCCACAACCGTGCCATCATTTGTTATTGTGTGATTTCTTGATAGCAGACATTCTTTGTGGGGTGAGGTGGAATCTCAGTGTTGTTTTCGTCTGCATCTCTCGAATGACCAGTGATGTGGAACATTTTTTCATATATTTACTTGCTGCTTTTACTTCTTTGAGAAATACCTGTTCATTTCAGATGCCCATTTTTGAATTGGGTCTTTATATTTTTTGGGGGGCTGATTGTTTTGAGTTCTTTATATATTCTAGGTAATAGTTCCTTGTCTGAGGAGCAGCTGGTAAAAATTTTTCCCACATTGTAGATTTTTTCTTAGTTCTGTTGATGGTTTCTTTTGCAGTACAGAAGCCTTTTAATAAGATGAGATCCCAGTTGTTGATTCTTTCTGCTAGTTCCTGTGCTACTGAGGATTTGTTCATAAAGTCTTTTCCTATGCCAATGTCTTCAAGGGTTCTGCCTAACTTACCGTCCAGCAAGTTTAGTGTTTCTGTTTTAGTGTTTAGATCCTTAATCCACTTGGATTTTAATTTAGTGCATGGTGAGAGATAAGGGTCCAGTTTTAATCTTTCGCAGGTTGAAATCCAGTTTTTCCAACACCTTTTATTAAAGAGGCTATCTTTCCTCCACTGAGGATGGTCAGCTCCTTTGTCAAAGGTGACAGTCTTTTCTCTGTGGAGTGGATTCTGGGCCCCCCACCATCTAGATGGTTGTGTGCTTGGCCCAAGCAGGAAACATGTGAGTCTTAAGGCAGAGCTGCCAGGTGGGCACAGAGGGGCCCATTAGGACTCGCTAAGGCCTCGCAGAGACCAAGTATAGCACAGGGACTCACCAGACTCTGGAGACTCACAGACCACGTATGGGCTGCAGGGTAGGTTCTGCACAGTAGGCTGGGAGTCTCCCTTCCTCGCGTGGCTCTGCACCCATAACATCCATGGTCAGGGACAGCTGGGCCCACAGGCAGCTAGTCACTGAAGGACTTTCATGGCTTATTTTCTTGAGTTATTTAAGTTCCCAAAGCCACAATCCAGTGGGATGGAAGGACTGGGATATTTTACCTTCTCTCCTCTGCTTCCTAAGCCACTACCCTCACTCAAATTGCCTGAGTGGGATAAGATGCACCTGCCTAGTGATAGTGGACACAGAAGCCACCAGCTATAGAATGTAAAGGACTCGGGAGTCTTCAGAACAAAACCTAGTGCTTGCTGCCCTGGTGGGGAAGCCAAGCTGGCTCCCCCTGGGAAATGATGTAGTGAACTCCACCCTCCCCAGGTGGAATTTATCCTCACCCTGTGGTTCCCCGAACCCTGGGCTAGCCCAGACTCACCCACCAACTCCCCTGGGGCCTTCCCCAGAGCCCTAGGGTGGCCCCCTCCATCTGGGGTGCCCAGCCCCTTCTCTGTCTAAGGCCTGCAAGGTCCCGAGCTCTATTCTTCTTTTCTGCCGGAGGACTGAAGTCATGGCCACCTGAGTGGGACAAGCTGAGCTCTATCAGTGCACAGGCAGCTTCTTAATGAATGGCAACAGTCTGTCCCCAGCTTCTTGTCCGAAGGCCCCTTCATTTCAGATCGAGCTCAAGAATTTTCCTTCACTGCCTGTGCATTTTGCACACATACATTCCTCAGGAATTACCACACAAATTGCAGGATTCAGCTGAATAATAAACTCTTTATTGAGTGGTCCTGACATCAAAGTCCCCATGGAGACCACCTATCTGGGCCCCTAAGGACCAGAGCTGGCACTGTTTAAATGGAGGCTTGGACTTGCGCTTGTGCCTCGAGGCCATCATCCAGGCCTTTACTCACTGAGACCAGTACCTTGTGTGGTCCCTGGGACCCTAGCTGGGCCACATCCCTTCTCATAACCCTGCCCACATAATGCTCAGAATCTAGTATGCTCAGCGCCTCAGGGAAACCTGCTGCTAGAGTCTGGCCCAGGACGTGCTTGGGGTTGACCAGTGGTAGAAAGAGTCCACACAGGCAGTGGACTTCATGCTTCCTGGAAGCCAAGAAGAGAAGCAAGAATACGATGGTGGGGTTCAGAGTTCAGGACCG